TCACATGGGGACACAAGGGACACAGGGGGGCACAGGGGTCACATGGGGACACAAGGGACACGGGGGGGGCACAGAGCTCCCATGGGGACACAAGGGACACGGGGGGGCACAGGGGTCACATGGGTACACAAAGGGTGGCGGACATGGGGGACACAAAACACAGGGATAGGAAGGATGGGGGACACAAGGGACACGGGGGGGGCACATAGGGTGGCGGATGTGGGGGACAAAACACAGGGACAGGAGGGATGGAGGACACAAAGGACACGGGGGACAGAGGTCACGTGGGGACACAAAGGGTCACGGATGTGGGGGACGTGTGGGATACAAAATACAGGGATAGGAAGAATGGGAGACGCGTGGGACACAGAACACACGTATAGGAAGGATGGGGGACATGTGGGACACGGGGGGGACACAGAGGTCACATGGGGACACAAAGGGTGGCGGACATGGGGGACACAAAACACAGGGACAGGAAGGATGGGGGACACAAAGGACATGGGGGGGACACAGAGGTCGCATGGGGACACAAAGGATCGCAGACGTGGGGGACACGAAACACAGGGATAGGAAGGCTGGGGGACACAAAGGACACAGAGGGACACACAGAGGTCACAAAGGATGGGGGGACACGAGGGACAGGGGAGTTGGAGGACGTGGGGCGTGAAGCCAGGCACAAAGGATGGGGGACATGAAGGAGGGGGGGGGGACATCAAAGGTGGGGGCCGCAGAGGATGGGGGATACGAGGGGCCTGGGGACACATGGCAGCGAGGACAGGCTGGGGGCAGAACGCAGGGAGCCCACCTGCCCAGGCAGTTGCTGAGGAAGGTGAAAAAAGCCTCTTTTCGGCTTAAAGATGTTTTTTAGAATTTAATAACAGAAAAACGATTCCTGTGGAGGGGCCAGGAGCGCGGGTGCTCGCGTCCCTTCCAAATCACGACCGAGGCCGCAGTTCACTCGGTTGCAGGAAAGCAAGTAATACTCATTAAAAAATAAAACCGCAGCGTAAGCGGCCGCCCCGAAAAGGGGACTTTTCCGGAAGGCTCCTTGTCTGCGGCACCGGGGCATCTTGTCCAGGGTCACAACTATGGCCTGGTGGGTTTGCGATGGGGTTTTCCAGGAACAGGAGGATTTGACCCAGTGGTGGTGCCGGTCGGGACCGCCAGCCATGTGGCGCTGGGCGTCCTCCTTGCCTTGCGCAGGTCGCTTGAGCCAGCTGGTGGTCGCGGGAGGTCCCAGCGAAGCGCTGGGCGGGGGCCGTCGGCAGGGAAGTGCCATCTCACGTCCCTCTTGTCTCCCCTCCGTGCTGCAGCTCCTGATCGCTCGCCGGAGGAGAACCAGCTGCTACTTCTACCCCCGCGCCTGGCCCAGCGTCAGGAGTGCGGACTGGTGGGAGCGGGTGGTCCTGAAGGAGTTTGGGCCCCAGGACTGGCTGGAGAAGTTTCGGATGTCCAAGGAGACCTTCTTCTATGTCTGCAACCAGCTGCGGCCCGGGCTGGCTCCACACAGCGCCCACTTCCACCCCACCCTGCCCCTGGAGAAGAGGGTGGCCGTGGCCCTGTGGCACTTGGCCACCAACGTGGAGTACCAGACTCTCAGCCCGCTCTTCGGCGTGGGACCCTCCACGGTGCAGACGTGCGTCCGGGAGGTGAGCTACGCCGTCGTCTTGCTGCTGAAGCCTCTCTACCTCCGGCTGCCCAACGAGAAGGAGCTGGAGAACATGGTGCGCATCTTCCGTACCCGCTGGGGCTTCCCGCACTGCATTGGCGCCCTGGACAGCCTCCACATCCCCATCCACCCGCCCCTGCGCCTCAGCGCTGACTACTGCAACGGCCAGGGCTGGCACTCCATCCTGACGCAGGCCACCGTGGACGGGCTGGGCCAGTTCTGGGACGTCTCCACCGCCTTTCCCGGCAGCATGGAGAACAGCGCGGTCCTGGAGAGCTCCAGCCTGTGGGTGCTGGCCAAGGAGGGCCGTCTGTGCCCCAACCCTCCCAAGCACTTCATGGGGAAGGCGCAGAAGTACGTGCTGCTGGGCGATGCCACCTACCCCTTGCAAGACTGGATCCTCAAGCCCTACCAGGAGGACGAGAACCTCACCCAGCGGCAGCTGCAGTTCAACTACCGCCTGAAGCGGGCGCACAGCGTGATCGAGAACGCCTTCCTGCGCCTGAAGGCGCGCTGGCAGATCCTCCTGAAGTGCGACGACTGCAGCCTGGAGCTGCTGCCCACCCTCGTCCTCGCCTGCTGCATCCTGCACAACATCTGCGAAGCCCACGACAACCCCTTCAATGAGGAGTGGCTGGAGGGCACCGAGCCGACCGAGCTGCCCAAGCCCTGCCAGCCCGCGCCCGCCGCCATGGAGGATGGCCGGGCCGAGCAAGTGCGCGAGCTGATGTGCCAGTACTTCGAGAGCTGCGGGGAGGGCTGATGGGGCCAGCAGGGAGAAGCAGCCCTGCGCATCCTTGCTCACAGACTTCCCACGGACTCCAGCAAACGTTGGCCCAGCGGTACCGGGCTGTTCAGCAAAGGACTGCACCCTCTCGCCTCTTCCGAAGGCTGCCGGCGGAGCAAGGAAGGCTGCCGGCTGGACCAGTGCCAGCTGCCCCAGCCGTTCCTGGGGCGGGGAGGGGGGTGGCTGCATCACGCTCATGCTGGTTTTGCCGTGGTGGTTTCAGGCAGTGGAATGTATTTTGTGCCCTTGCTCTCTTCCAGGATTTGAGCAGTCTGGTGGTGTGTTGTGTGCCGCGTGGGCAAAGCAGGGATCGGGGCCGGGCAAGGGAGAGGGCTGCCTGGGGCTCTGGGAGCATGTCTCTGTCCTGAGGCCCCTCCGTCAGGCTGAAACCAGCAGGAGGCTTGAAATAAGAAGGCTTTGAAGATATAAAACTTGCTGCGTAAACACGCTTGGGAGGGGAAGGGAAGGAAGAGGCAGAGCAGTGACTTGCCAGGGGCTGGCACCAGCCTGGAATGAAATTGCATTTGCAAACTCCCGCTCTGCTGCTGCTCAGGCAGTGCGTGCTGCCCTCGGGGGAGCGGGCCGAGCTGCCATGGCCTGGCCTCCCCCCTCACTCCTTTGCTGTGAGCGTCCATGGCTCGGCCCCCAGGCTCCCTCCCCGTCCCGCCGGCCAGCCCTTTCTGCTGGCACCTCTGATCTCTGCCTGCGGCCCAGCTGCATCGTGAGCAGACGCATGCAGCTCTGCCCCCCGTATCGTCTGAGAAATCGAGTAGCTGCGGTTTATTCTCCTGCTGTCCTCCCACTGCAGGCTGGCGCCCGGTGGCACGCTGCCTCTGCCGTGCCGGGGCAGGGCCTGCTGCCGGAGAGCAAAGGCACCTCCATCAGCGCTTTGCTGGGAGGTGGTAGGCGGGGGGAATGGCACAGACCTGTCCTGCCGTGCCACCCTTCCCGTGGGACCAGGATCCGCTGCCCGCGGCTGATGGTGGCTGACAGAGCCCCAGCGGGGACGAATGTGGCCTCGATCACAGCCTCAACCGGAGGAGGGTGGCTCCTGGCTCCCACCCGCGGCATGGGTGTAGGGGAGATGTCACGCTGCTGTCCCGGGCGGCTCGGGGCCAGCTCCAGCGGGGACCGTGTCCTGGCCCTCGGGCAGCCATGCTCCCCGGGGAAGGGGCTCCCTGTGGCTGAGGGAGCACCTCCGGCCTCCTGCCTCACGCTGGCTTGGGCGGCCATGGGGCAGTGGGGGGCCTTGGGGTAGCCACGGGGGCCATGGGGCAGCACTGAGGCCGGGGGCCATGGGGCAGTACTGGGGCTGGGGGCCATGACAACCATGGGGCAGCACTGGGGGCCATGGGGCAGCACTGGGGCTATGGGGCAGCGCTGGGGGCTAATGGTGGCCGTGGGGCAGCACCGGTGGCCATGGGCCCATGGGGCAGCCGTGCCCCACTCCGGGCCTGCGCTCCGCCGCCACCGCGCATGCGCCGCCAGTGCCCCGCGTTCCTCCGGCCGCTCCCACTCCGCGGGGGCGGGGGGAAGGCAGCACCCCCCCACGTGGGCGGGCTCGGCGCGGTCCCGCCCTCCCCCACCCGGAAGTGCGATGGTAGGAGCCGCCGGCGCGGTCACGTGAGGGAGCAGCATGGCGGCGGGCGGTGAGTGCGGGAGGCCCGGGCTGGGCCCTGGCGGGACCGAGGGGATGGGGACACGGCCCGGCCCGGCGGCTCCGGCTGGACGGGGCCCGGCTGTGCGCCGTCGCGGTGGGGGGGGCAGACCGTGTCAGTTCCGGGGGATCCGGTCAGACCGGGTCCGGGCTCTTCCCGTGGGGTCAGGCCCGGCCGCGGGGTCCGGTTCTGCTCGGTCCAGGGGGCCGGGGCTCACCTGCTGCGCCCGGGCACCCCCTTCGCCCCGCGGCGTGAGGGACCGGTTGCACCCAGGGCCCCGACCCCCTTCCCCCTGTGCAGGAGCGTGACCGGAGGGAGCCCCGCCAGAGGCCTGCGTGCGCCCGGTCCTGCCCTCCCCGCCCCCCCCGGCAGCATGGTGACAGAGCAGGAGGTGGAGGCCATCGGCCGGACGCTGGTGGACGCGGCCCAGCCCCTGCCCGCCCGGTTCCGGGCTCTCTTCACCCTACGCAACCTGGGCGGCCGCACGGCGGTGGACTGGATCAGCCGGGCCTTCGGGGATGGCTCTGCGCTGCTGAAGCATGAGCTGGCCTACTGCCTGGGGCAGATGCAGGACGAAGCGGCCATCCCTGTGCTCATCCGGGTGCTGGAGGACACCGGCCAGGAGCCCATGGTCAGGCACGAGGCGGGTACGATGGCTGCCGCGGGGGACTTTGTGGGTGCTTCCCCCCGTACCGAACAGCTCGTGCTGGCCTGATCCAGCTCGGGTGTCGTGGCTTGGAAAACCCTGAGGCACATAACCACGTTACGGCGTCCCCTGGCTGGACTGGTTAGCCAGGCCTGCCCCTTCCTGCTGGCCAGGCTGGCTCCTGCCGTGTTTATTTGCTTGCCTATCTCGTTTAGGATTGGTCAGAGTCAGGCCTGTGTCCCCACTTTGGAGCGGGGTGAGGCTTTGCTGGAGGACACAGCAGGGTTCTCCGCATGTAGACATCTTGGTAACGTCCTGACGCGTCCTTCCTTCAGGTGAAGCCCTGGGTGCTATCGGGAATCCCGACGTGCTGGATATCCTGAAACGCTATGCAGAGGATCCCGTGATTGAGGTGAGGCTCTTGAGGGGCTCATTTCCCCTGGGGTGCAGTGCTGCTGGTCCAGGAGGGTGAGGCAGGTCCCTCCTGGGCAGCCCCCGGCTGTGGACAGGGACACCATGAGTGGCATCGTGCTGCATGCTGGTGGCCAGCCACCGTCGGGAAGCCCTGGGCGCCCTCCCAGCACTGTTCGGTGCCGTCCCACAGCCAGGGCCGTGTCCCCGCAGGTGGCGGAGACGTGTCAGCTGGCAGTGAGGAGGCTGGAGTGGCTGCAGGAGAACAAGCAGGAGCCGGGCACCAGCCCCTACCTCTCCGTGGATCCTGCTCCTCCTGCCGAGGAGACGGATGTCGCCAAACTCCGCGAAACCCTCCTGGATGAGTCGCGCACACTGTTCGACCGCTACAGGGCCATGTTTGCCCTGCGAAACCTGGGAGGCCAGGCTGCCGTGCTGGCGCTGGCAGACGGTAAGGGCCAGCGTGAGGCTCCCTGCAGTCTCCTCGTTGTGAGTCTGTGCAGGTTAATCTGGGATTAGCCCTTCCCAAGTCCAGGGCTGCCAGAGCTGCGGGGCTTCTCTTAGGCTCTTCACACATTTATTTCTAGAGCTGCTGTACCCCTGCTTGCTTGCAAGAGCCACATCGCAAAGCGCTCGGTGCGTTCTGGTGTTTCGCAGCCCCCTCGCTGTCCTCCGGGCCCCCTTTCTCCATGGGTCCGGGTGGGAGAGGGCACAGTCCGTAATGTTGGCTTGGGACCAACCAGTCTGACCTGGTGGGACCTCGCCCCAGGGTGTCAGGGTCCTGCTCTCCCGTCCTGGAAAGTCAGAGGCTGCCAACCTCATCTTGCGGTTTGGGATTAGCTCTGGAGAGGGGAATGAATGTCTCCTGAGTGGGGAAGGGGCAGACCACAGCCCAGGAGCTGTTTGGATCCACCCCGCAGCCCAAGGGAAGTGGACGATGCTCTTCAGCCATCTGGGACGAGCCGAGGGCACGTCTGCGCCATGAGACGAGGTGTGCAGGGATCCGTGAGCTCCTGCTGCAGCTCTTCAGTCCCGCAGCATGGAAGGGCTCGAGGCTGTGCTGCCAGCCCGCCCCAGGCACACCGCGCTGGTGGGGCAGGGCCCGTGGGCAGCGCAGGCTCCCCGGGGCAGGCGAGGGTGCTGGCAGCTCTGCTGGGAGGGCGGGTGCCGTCATCACGAGGGGGTGTCCCTATGCCGCTGGGGCACGGCTGTGGGTGCATGGTGCCGGGGCTGCCCTGGCTGTGCGGGGTCGGGGAGCAGGGTGGGACAGCCCTTCCCATAGGTATTTTGTCCCCTTCCCCAAAAGCCCCCGTGGGTTTGGAGTGGCAACCACCAGCTCTAACCCCCCAGGCCAGCCTGCCCCATGGCTTCCCCCCGTGTCTGGGTGGGGGGCTCCGGCCAAGCATCCCAGTGCATTTTGGGGGCAGCAGCGGCTCACTCTTGCCTCTTCCCCGCAGGACTGCGCTCCGGCAGCGCCCTCTTCCGCCACGAGATCGGCTACGTGCTGGGCCAGATGCAGGATGAGGCCTGCGTCCCGCAGCTGACGGCCACACTGCGCAGCCGCACCGAGAGTCCCATGGTGCGCCACGAGTGCGCCGAGGCCCTGGGCTCCATCGCCCGCCCCTCCTGCCTGGAGACCCTGCGCGCCTTCGCCCGCGACGAGGAGCGGGTGGTGCGGGAGAGCTGTGAGGTGGCGCTGGACATGTACGAGTACGAGAACGGCACCCAGTTCCAGTACGCCGACGGGCTCTGCAAGCTGCAGGCCTCCACCTGAGCCCTGGCTGGGGGGGCACGGGCTGGGCGCGCTGCCTCCCACACCCCCCGCCGGCTGCACTTTCATGGCCGCCTCCGTCGACGTGGATCTGTGCCTTGCCGCGGCGGAGAAGGAACTGGATTTGCTCTCTGGCACAATTACAACCTCCTTCTCCCTCCAAATCCAGGCTGAGCTGCTACTTGCCATCCCCCATTTCCTGGATCTGCCCCTTTTTCCCTGCCAGGATTGGCACCGCCTGCCCGCAGCCTGGCTTGGGGCTTGGACCGGGTGGGCTCTGCTCTGCACGTCGGAGCCTGTCGCGGCTCCGCAGGGCCCAGGGCTGCTCTGGGCTTGCGCTGCCGTGGCAGCTCGATGTGGAACAGCTCCGCTTCCCCTGCCTGAGCTTTGCTGGGGGGCCATGGCTGGCTTTGGGCACTCGCTCATAGGCTGTAGTGATGCGATGCCTCGAAATAGCCCTTGGTTCCGGTGCTGAGCTGGGTCCCTCCTGGCCTCTGCGGTGGAGGAGCTGCTGTGGGTTTGGCCTCTCCTGTCGGGGCAGGCCAGGGCTGCGCTTGCGGCAGCCTTTGCCCTGGGATGGGGGTTGTTTCATGGCAAAGTTTGGAAGATTTGGCTGCGCTTTTTCTTTCTGCAGGGAACGGCGCTGCCATTAGGGCTTACAGGGTGAGGCAGAGCCTGCCCAGACTTTCCCCTGCGTTTAACCAGACCTGGTAGGGCTGAGGCTGGTGTCTGCTGCCGTCACCCAGCACCCAAACCCCCTGGGCAGCCCAGCGTGGGCGCAGGGGGGGCTAGCAGGGAATAAAGCGCTGGCGGGGGGAGCTCCTGTGTGAGTCGAGCGGTGATTTAGCCCTTGTCCAGACGTGGGGTGCACCCAGAGCCACGGGGTCGGGCCCCGGCAGGGAGCTGCCGTAATAGAATCATTTAGGTTGGAAAAGACCTTTAAGATCATCGAATCCCACCCTAATGGGAGGAGAGAGCATGGGGTGGGGTCCCTGATGGCTTGGGGTAAAGCCCCGCTCCCCACAGCCCTGGCAGGCCCGGGGAGGAGGGCCGACATCGCCCGGGGGTCCTGCTGCACTGTGGGGACTGGTGGCCTGCTGATGGGGCTTTTCCCCTTGACCGAAGTCTCGCTGCGAGTCGCTCCCAGGCTCAATCCTCTTAGTCCCTAAAGCCGCTGCTGCGGCCGGCTCCGCGTCCCTGGGGCTCTGGTGCCTGGGGACGCCACTGGAGCGGGGAGACCCAGTCTGGTCCAGTTCAGGACCCCATGGAATGAGGTTTTACTGCAGACGTGACCAGTTTTGGTCACCTGTACATGCTTACTGGAAGTCAGACCCGTGTGCCCAAGTGCTGTGGCTGGCCTCCTGGCGTGTGACGTGGAGGATGAGGGCCACCGAACCTCTTATTCCCCGGCATCGGGGACAAAAACCTGGTGTTTTCACGCCATTTCAGAGTCAACAACTATTTCAGGGCTTCTTGCCCCCCCTCCCTCGTCCTCCGTAGCCCCTGGCTGATGGGCAGGACCCAGCCGGCACCGCCAAGCTTTGGGGTGTCTCTGCGCCTGTCGCTATCCCCCGCAGGCAATGGGGCAGGGCGGTGGGACCTGCCATTCCCCCCTTCCCTCGTTATCGGGGTAAGGCAGCTGCTGGCTCCGCACCGGGACCTTATCATCACGCAGGCTTCAGCATGCTGCCGGCGTGTTTCCCCGGTGCTTGCCGGTGTGTTTGTCCCCGGTTGCCACCCTGGCTGCTCCGACCCTTGCTCTCCGCTGTTCTCCAGCATTTCCACAGGTGACTCACTCGCACCACGCAGGGTTGTTTCCAAATCTCTTTGCCAGCATTTGCCTCTGCTCCCCCAAACGCCTTTTAAGCCCAAATTGGAATGAAACTGGCATTTTTGTGGCCGGGATCTGGCCGGGGGCGTCCTGGGTGCAGCAGAGCTGGGACGTGTGCCGGGGTGGAGGAGTGCCCAGGCGCCGAGCCCTGACTTGGCACCTTCATCCCTCCCTGGCCAGCCCGCCCTGGGAAGGGTTTGGGGTTTTTTTCAAGGCTGCTGCTGGTCCGGGCTCAACCCTGCACCCTCCTGGTGCAGAGGGCATCGCTTTTGGGTGGTGCCCGCACCCTGCGCCCCTCTGCAGGCTGCTCCTCACCGGCGGAGCGACGCTGGGCACCGGGTGCTCTGGGAAGGCGACAGCCCCTCGCCGTGGGGCTGCGGCACCCGTCCTCTCACCCATCGCCTCCCGGCTCGGAGGGTGCCGTGTCCTCTGGGGCAGGGCGCTGCTGCTGGGATTTCACACCATCTGCTCGGGGGATGCGGGGAGGGATTTAACCAAGCTCGGGGGAGGCCTTGGGGCATCCATCGCCATCCCTGCCTTTGGGCGTTCTCCAGCTGCAGACGTTTCCCCGCTGCCAGGGGACGGAGGTGCCTGCGGTGCTGCCACAGGGGCAGATTCTGGGGACCCTGAGCCGTGTTGGAGCCCGCTGGTCACCCCCCAGGCTGAGCCCGCCGGGGCTGTGCCCGGATTAGCAGGCGCTAAGCTCCTTCCCGCGGATGCCACGTCCTTCGGCGACAGCGGGTGAGCGGCTCCCCATCGCACGGAGGGCGAGTGGCACTGCCACCGGGCATGGGGACCCCCCTGTCCCCGTGAGCCGCCAGCACCCAGGAGCCTCACGGACCCTGATGCCACTTCTTCCCTGCAGCCCCCCGTGCGACAGAGGCTTCGGTGGCTCGGGACTGGGGTGCGGGGGGAGCTGGCGATGGCCTTGGCGGGGGGCACCCCGCTCCCTGGCACCGGGGGGGCGTGGGGGCCCCGGCACTTGCTGCAGTCTCCCCCCGAGGAGGACGGGGTGCTGTATGTGGACTACAAGCCCCCCGCCCTGGACAGCATCCGCCTGCCCCGCTATGTCCTGTACCTGGTGATGGCGGCCACCCTGGTGCTGGTGGTGGCATATGCCATCGTGGGGCACCTCATCAAGGACCTGGTGCACGACTTCGCTGGTGAGTGCTCCCCAGAGCGGGGTTGAGCTTTGGGGCTCCTTATGGGGCTGGGTGGGGGGCAAGGGGGGGGTCCCCCAAACCCTTTGCCGTGGTGGGGATGTGCCACTGACAGCTCCGTCTCTGCCCCCGCAGACTGGGCGTTCGGGCCCAAGCCGGAGGAGGAGAAGGCGGTGATGACTGAGGGGACCGTGCCGGAGGTGGAGTGGCTGGAGGAGGACGGGGTGCCAGCAGCGGGGAACCTGGAGAGCAAAGGTGCCGGCGCCCTGCCGGGCATGGACATCCCGCTGGGGCTGCTCGCCGCCCCACGCAGCTCCATCTCCTTCGCCGACTCCCACAAGAAGAGATTTTTCTAGGGCCAGGGGAGCCCCCCGCCAGCAGCGGGACCCCGCAGCCGTGCCCAGCCGTCAGGTCACAGCACGGCCCCAGGCTCGGGTGCAGGGGTGACGCTGCCCGGCGCCAGCACGTGGCTTCACCGTCCTCGGCACGGCCCCACGCGCTTATCTCGGGGCTGCTATCTCTGCCCCCCAATAAAGCGGCCTGCCCCAGCCCTGCTCGCTCGCCCCTTAGCCAGGCGTGGGCGCGGGGAGGTGGCAGGGCTGGGACGCCCCGAACTTCGCCTGGGGACAGCGGCGTCCCTCAGCAGAGCCATGCCGGCCCCCGGGGCGTGGGCGCATGGGGAGGGGACACACGTGTGGGTGCACATGTGTGGACACACGTGTGGGTATGTTAAGGTGGGTGCTTGGGGGTGCAACCCCTGGCAGGGGGGCAACACCCCGGGTGTGGGCACAGACACGCGTGGGCGCAGGGGGCACGGACATGGGTGCGCACACGGGAACATGGATGCATGCGCCGACGGGGAGCCCCACGTCAGCACAACCATGCGCAGACGCACGGGGAGGGACGGACAGACGGACAGCTGTATGCTGAGGCTGGATTCGCCCCCGCCAGCCCCCTCAGTGCCCTGACGCTGCCAGGCCGTGCCCCCTCCTGATGGGGCAGAGCTCAGTGGCACCCACAGGTGCCCCCAAAGCCAAAGCCCCCCCGAGCCCCACCTGGGTGGGGGCACCGGGGATGGGGGCTGCATCGCACAGACCCCCATCCCCTGCCTTAAACCCAGTCTGGGGCTGGACCACATCCCTCCAGTGGGGACCCTGTCCCCATGTCCCCAGGCTCCTTCTTCACCCCTCGGGGAATCGCCATGGGCAGGGTGGCCCTGCCAGAGCACCTGCTCTGGCCCTGGGGTGCCACCGGCCACCCCGTGCCTCAGTGTCCCCTATACCTCGGCGAGTGGGGGCTGCGAGGCGCAGCGGAACAGCTCGCCCTGCCAAGTTCTCGCTGATAACACCATTAATATTTAGCTCTTCA